CCTAATTTAATTCCTTTTTCTACATTAAACAAACGTTATTTTATCCATATTAACAAAATAAATTTTGCTTGAACAATCGACCAATTTAATCAGTGATTAACAGCATCGCTTACTGCAAAATTTCCAATTGTGCAATTCGTTGCCTCCGATCTAATCTTCGTTTCCGCGTGTCAAACTAGAAAAGTTATTCTATTCACGATTAACGAAGTAACGCAAGTGTCGCTTGATAAGTTAATCGCCGATTAAACTACTTGGCGTTTGATCGTACTCGCCCTCGGATGAATAAAAACTGTGACTCGTGTTGAGTGAAACGCAATTTTTATTTGCATATTTTATTTATAAACATGCGGCTAGCGCGTACGGAAAGATGATAAAAACAAACGCGATGGTAATCGCATTTTCGACGTGGCGAGGGTCGACCCGCCACCAACGACGCTGAACATTACGTGCGCATCACGATCGTAAAATAAAAAAAAAAAGAAAGAGAAAAAAGAAATGAGAACTTACTTAAATATCTTATAAATATATGTGTATACAATCGAGGCGTGTTCCTGCCGCAGTTTTAATCGTTTAGATCCTTACAAAGGCGGTCGATAATCACTCGCGGTGTTGCACACTTAAAAATTAGTAATTAATGGTACTTAGCTAATTAAATTGATCGTTACGATCCCTTATAGTTTGTACTGTCGCATTATTATGAATATTATGACTCACACTCAGCTTTGGGGTAACTTTTGAAGTGTCAGTCTTGCACGTGACGCTGCCAAATCGGTATTTACAGAGAGAGAAAGAGAGGAGAGAGTTCGTCTGTATTATGAGAGTCTGTATTATGCATAATACAGACAAATTCTCTCTCTCTTCCTCTTTTTCTTACCCCCGAGATTCCCTACGAAATTACGAAACCGTTCTTGTCCATTTATTTACTCCCGATCGATCTCTCGCGTTTGTCGAACAAGAGATATGTACGAAATTCTTTCATTCTTTTAGGGTGGTTTACTTGGGTAACTGCTATAGCAAGGCCATGTAGTGAAGATATTATATATAGGCAATAATTGTAGATCGAGCTGATACTCGTTGAGTAATTGTTATCCTGCTTGACCCAATCGTGCAATTTTTTTCATCAGTATAAATTATTGACGTTGTTGAATGTATATACAGTGTTCGACGCGTTTATATGATGACGGAAACGGTTTCCGCCTCGTGCGTATTAAATATCGGCGGGTGTATGAAATGTCTTGATCGTTGAAAATCTATTACAAAAGCGTTAAATAATCGATCTATTCACAATTATAGTTACAAGTGCTGTGGCAAGTCGCGCCAATTGTTAATCGTTAACGGTAGTCAAAGGCACGTATTGGAGAAGAGTTACGGCTCGTTCTTGCTACTGCTTGAACGATCTTGCGAATGTTTTGTGAAGAGGAACCTTGGCGCGATATCAATTCCTAAGCTGGTCTTCCGTGAACGCGGAATCTGTATAAGCACGTGTAATCTAGCTGCCCGTGATTGCTGTGTATCCTCAATTCTATATATTCGTATGGCCTATCGATCTCTGTATTCTGCGTAAAAAGATTATCAACGATTACTATAATCTTAATAAATTTAAAAGTCTATTAATGAAACAGTAACGGCGTATAATAACAAATCCTTCAATGAAGAAATAAATTTATAAAAGATTTTTAAAGAGAAATTTACCTGGACTGAAAAATATTGCAAGCTTTCGTCGGAATACGTGAATTCGTATTCCCCAAACATCACAGGCTCGACATCGTTCTCATGCAACAATCCCTGCAGCAGTGAAAGTATTACAAAATATATATATATCATAATATATTGACCACAAAAAGGATTTATTTCACATACCCAGACATTGAATTTTCTGGGCGCGCTCGACATGTTCTCATTCGGCAAAATCAATCTGGAGACGTGCTCCAGAGTGAAACCAGTTACATAAATGACACTTCGCAATTGTATCAAGAGGTATCCGGGAAAATCTTGGAAGGCCCAGCAAACGCCAGGTTGTATCGGATTTCCCTGTATTACAGTCCGCGGATTATTGCTTTCGTAATACAGCGCGAAACCGAACAAACTGTAGGCTCTCGTCTTTATGTCATATCGCTGAGTGCATCGCGTGCTAATAATCTGACCACCTATATGCAGACAACAAAGCCATTTGTTATAGTATTTACTAACTGTTATTTCTCGATCTATCGGCACGATACGATACCTGCTGTTTCCAAAGCATAATCTACTTGACCCGTCTTATCCGCGTCATAAATTCGCAGTACTTCCTTCACTATCTTACGTATGTGCTCTTCCGAGACATGAACATTGTCAGCATCATCATTAGAGCTCTTTTGATCTAAAAATATAAAAAAATATTCGTAATGTATTTTTCGACATTAATTAATATACGATGTAACATCCAAACACATTTAAAAAAGTCAATGCATTTAAATATATCCTCAAAGAACCTTCTCTATTATGAGATGCAAATAAATTCTGTAGGTTTTTCACGAGATCTTCTTTCGAAGTTCCAGGAGGAAAATAGCTGAATAAAATTCTTTCCACATGTTTATCTATATTCTGATTCGCGATGGATTCCGCATTGGCGTAGCAACAAGATTTTAATTCCGAGTACAGCTTGCGTAGTTCCTCAAATTCATACTTGATGATTTTAAGTTCGCCATATACCATATTTTTCAATGTCACTTCATTGACATCCAGTTTATCTTCCACATCAGTAATCTTGTCCTGTGGAGAGATAACTGCCTTAAAACTCGAAATCTTCATAATTATATGTATATATGTATATATATCCGTCCGAGTAATATTTTTAAGATATTCCTACACACAAAATGTTATAAATCATAGAATACAAGAGGTAGTTGCAATTAAATTTATATCTATACCATTTGATGCGTCTGTCTATTCTCGAGCATTTCTATCCTGTTGACCAAATCAGCCTTGTCAGCTAAGTCTTCTTTAATTATCTCATTATTAGCCAACATTTCTTCATTAATTTTACGATCCTGCCATTGCACATTAGGTAATAATTTTTCTGTCGCGGTCTCGGACACAGTTTTACCATCAAGAAGAGGCAACAAATATTGTGCTATGCACCAACCACCTGAAACAAATTTTATATCTATAAATATTTGATAGTTCAAACGATTGTTGCGATCTCCTTCTCCTGTTACTGTATTGAACTACAGTGTTCCAACACAAAGTTAATGCTACAGTGACTGTCCAATTATTGAATTTACAATCACAGGGATCTTACATGTCAGATACATCTTAAATTTCGATGGCATACAGCAATGATGCAATTGTTCAAAGTGGAACTATTATCCAATATGGTAACTGAGAGAAGGATAGACGAAGAAACTCACCGTTCTGTTGATATCGATCGCGATCACGATTTCCAAGTATTTCAAGCACAACACACTCCGACTTTTTTTAAATGCCCAGTAGAGTAATCCTCCCCCTATCCTTCTCCCATCATAAAATTTTCATTTTTTGCTTTTTAGATTCGCTTCAATAAAAACGCTCAATCGTGACACTATGACGCTATATCACTCTAACGGACTGTGTTCAAAAGACTACTAATATCATAGACATAAAAAATATTTTATTAAGTATGAACGTGTTTTTACAATATAGATATATATTATCTAAAGACAGTAATTGTTACATTAAAATATTGTTATCTTTGAAGCGTGTAAAGATAAAAATGATACGTGTGGTGGTTAACTGAAAAAAATGTTAAATTTTATTTCATTCAATAACATTATCTATATATTACGCGATTTATATCTGTAGGATTAAATATTACAGAAAAACATAAAATATATACTAGAAAATGTATAACAGAAAAATGACTAAGTGACATGACCAGTTAGTTCTTGAAATATAGCACAGATATATAATTATATGTAAAATATATAGAATATTAATAAATATATCTTCACGCAAATATTAGTTTATTAGTAAAAACAAAAAATAAGTAAACCGATAACTGTTAATCAGTAGGTTTATATGTATCGTAAAGGATATTTCATTATCTGATTTAAATATACAAAATATATCTCATAGAATTTTTTAAACAATATCAACGTCATATTATGTAGCAAATGAAAATATGTCAAAATAGCAAACATAATTTTAGGACAATTACAATTGTAAAAGACATTTCAGTCATAGAATTACCGAAATTTTCTAATAATACGGCAATAAATGCCATGCTAATAATATATACTGAACTTTATGACAGAATAAAATAAAAACGAAAAACAATGGTTAAATCACACACATAATTATTAATTTAAGGAATAAATGGATGAAAGAGATATTCATATTCTTAAGAATGATGTCTGCAAGTTATTTTATACGATCAATCTAACGAAAATTTGTTATAATAGCATTTTACTTTCATCATAATTTTGTAAAACGATATAAATATTCAACACCTCCTCCATCCATTTGAACTAAATTATTATTATTTAGGGTTGTTATCCTAAATCAAATTTTTCAATTAATCACCACTTTATATTCCACCCAATGGGGGGCATTTCAGGCAAAGACACGTTCACACTCTGTAAAAGGTGCATGAAATAATTTTTAAAATCTGCAAAATATTTGGTAAACAACTCATAGGTAAGAGACATTAAGTTGATTATATTGTTAAAGATGTGATAAGTCGTCTCAGTGACACCATATTGGACATTGCGCAGAGAGTCCGCAATAGTGAAATAATGCCTCTGCGCGATGTAAGCCCCTGAAACAAAAAAAAAGACAAAGGCCAGGATGGGTTTATGCGTCTTTCAGGTCCTGCGAAAGACATTGGTCTGACTGTGCTCGGATCGGTTTAAATATCATGTTGATTAGTGAAAATGGAATTCCAGTGGTGTCTCTTGTTTTCTTTTATGCTCCTTAAACAAAATGGAGAAACTTACCAAACAGAAGAAGTAACGGTAGAAGCGCGATCCAAAAAATCCTCGGGCCTTTCTCTTGCAGCCACTTCCTAACGCCAGTGAACCGACTCAACAGCCAAGCGTCGAATACGAGAATTCTGACGAAGAAAAAGTACACATTGTGCGTATAACGGTCCAAAGTTTGCCACAATTTGCTCCATTTGGATTCTATAACAGCGAACAATAAGAAAATAATCAGTTAACACTTCTTAATATGCTATATTGTATGACAGATAATTATTACATTACGTTCAATTATAAAATACTATTTTTATATTTTTAAATGCCGATAAATACCGTGAGATAATCGATAAGCTTGTGCGCCGTAATACTGCCTTTCCCTATCCGTTCTAAACTGGAAAAATTCGACAGTTTTCCTGAACCAAGCGACAATGAAGGTTGTAAAATATGTGAACCACTGCACGATCCTCCAATTTTGATTAGTTCTGACCGATATATTTACAAAAGTCTCGTCCAATTCAGTATCAGAATCAGCCTGAGATACATTATATTTCCCAGTTGGAGTCGCCCACGATAAGTATCTGTTGAAATAAGATTGCATTACCTTAATTTTATGCGACAAAAAATTTGTTTCAATAAATAAGAAAGGACAAAATACCTTGACCGAAAACTTGAATATTCAGGCTCCGAATAAACCACCTTTTTACTTGTGTACTGTTCTAAGTGTGTCTTTTTGTACAGAGTCGCTCTTGAAGAATTCGACATACATGCGCGTGACACGTCGTAATTATCCGTGGACTGTAAAATACACATATATAGTTTTAGAACGCAAATATTCAAAGTTATGGATGTATCGAGAAAAAATATAACGATGGCTCGAGATAACAAATACTTACCGAACGAATTAGAGAAGCGGTCTCTTTCAAATCGACCGTATCCGTGTCGCTGATCCCGCTTTCCGTCGTTCCTCGCGAAGCCTGACTTAAATTCTGACGACTGGTTTGAGGTACGGTACTTCCATTGTCGTTCGTGTGTATAGACCGCCTCGACATATTGGGCATGGCCAATATACCTGGGGCAATCTCGTAACGACACTGCGACGCCGGCGAATACGTATAGTCTGTCTTCGGAAAAACGCTGAAATAACCACAAGTGATCTGATTCCTCGCACAGGTAATACATGCAAACCGTTCGTTTAACCGATTCCAACACTATCAGCACGAACAATTCGACATGTATCCTGCGACTGGCGCTAATTCGAACGTAAAATGTTTATGAACGTTTGTTCTTCCAACAGAAAGGTCGTATTTCTAAAGTAAACAGTATCGAGTTAAGGTGAAATTTCATGAGCAGTGAAAAGCAGCAGCAGGTCGTATGGATTAGCTACAAAAATAGAGAAGTTCTAGAAACTCGAGAACTTTTCTGTTTTGTAGCCAATCGGTACGACCTGCTGCTGCTTTTCACTGCCCATGAAATTTCACCTTTAAACAAATGCAATGTTACAGAGAGAGGAATTCATTACATTGGCACAGTCGTACAACAACATCTCGCGATCAGTGTTAAAGAATCCGTTAAAAGTAACAGGAAATATATACCGCATGCAGAGCAAAATTTAAAATACGCGTACTTCCACCACTCTCCGGCCTGCTTGTAGATCTCATAAGCGGATCCCGGTCTGCTCGGGGGATCTTCCCTCTCTCCCTCCTCGGACGAGTAGTCGCTGGTAAGTACTCTGCGTGGCGTAACGCTCTTGCGTCTTCGCTCGGCTTTCTGGTCAGACGCGTCTTCCTTACTTTCGCTCTGGCCATTGACAAATATTTGCCTTTTGGCCCGCTGGCGTTCCGACCGGCGTTCCGCTTTTTTCGTGACGACGACGGAACCCTCGGACTTCGTGCTTTGGTTATCCGTCAGACTTCCCGTGACAGATCCCTCCTTGCTCTCATCTATGGTATCCATCATACTCTTTTCATGCGTCTTCACGTTGCCAGGTCTATAGTCATGGAAACGCGAGCGATAAGGATGAAACTTGTCTACAATCGTCTCCCGTATTAACATCAAACACTTGGGTCGGCTACTTACAACGATCTAGAGCCAGACCGCCTGCTACTGGTCACCTCTCCCGGCGTGTGAGATCTTTCCCGGCTCCAGCTTCTGAGATCATAATGACGTTCCGTCACCTCTGGCTCCAGCAGGGAACGGCTCGGGACCATAGGCGTGTGGGAGCGCGACCTGCTCCTGCTGCGAAGCTCGTAGTGATGCTGCTCGCTCTCCATCCTCCTGTCGAACAAAGTACAGACCGGGTGACTGAGAAAATCGCGGCGAGACGCCACTCCCAAGGAGACCCAGCACCGCGGTTCTCCCGGCGGTCAAAGGTTATCGCTCGCTTTTGAGAAAGAGTCGCAGGGGCCGAGTCTCGGAGAGAACACATGCCCGAACATACGCGCCTAAAAATAGCGCCCCTCCCCGAAGGACACGGCCGCGGTCCGCGGTCCTTCTTCCCCGCTGGATCCCTATTTCTAGCCCCTCCACTCGCCGCTAAGTTCCGCGAGCGAAGTTCGCGACGATGCCGTCGGCCGTCGGCCACGAGAATCGCGCCGCGCAGACAACGCGCATTAAAATCAACGTAACGCGCGGAGGAAGGAAGCGACGGCGGCCACCACCGCGTCTTACCTATCTCCCATCGACGTCGGGGACTGGTCCGCCTCGGCGTCAAGAGTCGTGCGTGACATCGCTATTTATAGAAAACTCACCGTTTCCGCGCGCGCGGCGACGCTAACGGGACACGCGACCAGACGACAACGACGACGACGCGGGCGAGACGTAGCTCGCGTTGCGCAACACGCGCGACGCGCGAAGACCGACCGCGGAACGCGTTTCGCGTGGAAAAAAAAAAGCCAGCCTCCTGTACCCCGCGCCGCTCCGCCAGTCCCTGCAATCCCTACATCCGCGCAGCGCGTGGGATTACATACACGCGCCGCGCGTCCCGTAAACGCGTAGAAAACGCGAAATGCGTGCGCATTTTGCCCGATGATTCATACCCTTGTAATTCTGTTTACCTAGAGGGGGGCTGGGAGGGAGGGAGGGTCCGTTCAACAACGTCGTTTTCGCGCGACGTCTTTTTTTCCCTTTGTGAGAAAGTCGAGAGGGCTTATCTATCCAATTTACATCGTGATCTAATCTACGATCGGTCTTCGATCGCTTTCCGTTTCTCACGCGAATTAAGCAGCTCCATCGATAGCCTTATCTGTTAAAAGAAACGGAAATCGCGTGTGTCACGCGGGTTGCATGTAAATCATGTAAATCGAGTTGAAAATGTTAAAATGCCTGCAAGAGCGAGAAAAAAAAAACAACGATGAAAAGAAACTGACGCGAAACGCATAATGGGCGATCCGGATGTAGAATAGTATATATAACGAGGGATCTTTTGGAAAAAAAAAAAAAAAATTTCAGGAATTTTTGAAGCGGTTTGCGACGCAATTTTTACGTAATCGCGAATATCGAATTTATATTTATTTTAGAAGCATATGTACTTATCACATATTTCATATTAATGACTAAATAATTAATTCTCTAGCTTTCATCTACATTTTTTGAGAAAGGGGGGAAATAAATTAAGATTAAAAAAAAAGGGCAGAAATAAATTCATCGTGTTTCTGTTTCAGTAAATACTCTTCGGCGGAGGGAGCGAGGGAAGGCAATTTGTATGATAAATACGAGGAATTGCAATTGCTGTATTTCGCTCCTACATTTCGTGGCCCCCTCGGTAGATTGGAAATAAATACGGAGTATACATACATACGGAATATGCGGAGTCGCGGAGAGCTGCCCGCTGCTGCCCGCTTTGCGCACAGGTGTCGTTCGGGGTGCCGTCGTGTTAACAAAATAAATAGGTTATGAGTGTGACCGTAATATCGGTCAACATTGTACATACAATAGCGTCTAATATATATAAATTTAAATGTAAGTACAACGCAACAATACGTCGCGTAAGAACGTAGTGTAAAAGTTTCGAAACTGGTAGTTGCGGAGAGGGACGAGGAGAAAGTGGCGAGCTTCTTAACCTCTAAAAAATACTTCTCACTCTCCTTCTTGTTATATTTTATGATAAAATTGTAAGACAAATCGGTCCGGACTGCCGAGACGCTTCATTATACGGAACAGATCGCTTTCATTGACATACCGTGTCAGATCATTGTTATATGGCTAACAGATTATGTCGGACTTGGAGTTGGGAGGACAGGCAGGACGAAGGAGTTATGAGGAAATATTGAAGCAACGGCAGGATGACGGGGGACATAAAACCGCGACGACAACCGAGCAGGTAGGTAGGTAGGTAGGTCTCCACTTACCCACGAAACAAACCAAACGCGATATACATTCGTGTTACCAGACATAGCTCATTCTTGTATCCGTTACTCATCTTCGAGTGCCGTTACTCCATGTCATATAATTTCAATAGGCCTGCTCTTTTCAACTGAACTCTTTTGACTTCTCGCACGGTTCATCTTTTCGCTTTTTCTCTCCAACATGAGGAGAAAAAGAGAAAAGATGAACCGTGCGAGAAGTTTTCAGCATAAAAGAACGGGCTCATTATTTGTGTGACTCACCAAACTCTCACTTTCCACTGTATCATTTCAGGCCTGCGTCGAGGACATCGTGCTCAAGTTCTACCGATCGTGCAGAGAGGGGGAGCCTCTTTTACTTAGGCCGAAACATATTCAGTTCTTGAAGAAATCGATCAGTTATTTAAATGACACTTACGAGGTATTGCATTACTTTTCTAACGTCAAACAGCGCATGTAATTGCCTTAGGGGAGAGGATTCGGGAAGAATACGTTTTTCACTTGTGAAACGAGAAACTTATCGAGCGTTTATAACGATGCCTAGTGTTTGGACTCCAGCAGACCGTGGCTCTGCTTCTGGATATTGCATTCACTCGCGATATTGGGGGACCGATTGGAAGACGAGGAATGTTCCAAGATAGCGGGCTTTCTGGCCAAATGTCAATCGCCAACGGGCGGCTTCGGGGGCGGTCCGGGACAGTATTCACATTTAGCCTCTACATACGCCGCGGTGAACGCCCTATGCACCATCGGTACGCGAGAAGCGTACGATGTGATAAATAGGTAAGGAATATGAATGAGACGTAACTTTCTTCGACACGTAATGTTGCCGTTTTAAAAAACCATGTTTTGCATAGTGTTTCGACGATTAAGATTACGACAATTTCAGGAAGAACTTGAAACGGTTTCTATCATCCTTACGCGGAGAGGACGGCTCTTTTTGTATGCACGAGAACGGCGAGGTAGACATACGTGGGGCGTATTGTGCTCTCGCTACCGCCAAATTGACAAACGTATACACACCGGATATGTTCAAAGGCACCGCCGAGTGGATAGCCAAGTGTCAAACGTGGGAGGGTGGCTTTGGCGGTTGTCCGGGGATGGAGGCTCACGGCGGGTACGTGTATTGCGCTTTGGCGGCACTCGTAATGCTCGGAAAAACAGAGCTTTGCCATTTACCGGAGCTGTTGGTAAGATCCTTTTTACGATCTCGTAAAAAACGTAAGATTCTCGACATTCACATCCCTGCCGATCCCGCAGAGGTGGATAGTAAATAAGCAGATGCGTCTGGAGGGCGGTTTCCAAGGACGTACGAACAAACTGGTGGACGGATGCTACTCGTTCTGGCAAGGCGGAACGTTCCCATTGATCGCCGCTATCTTGTCGACGCAGGAAAAGGCGTTCAGCAGTTCCGACCACTGGTTGTTCAACCAAGAGGCCTTACAAGAATATATATTAACTTGCTGTCAGAATCCGCACGGCGGTCTTCTGGATAAACCGGGAAAGTACGTAATCGCGCTCTTTCGCCTGTATGCGATTATCGTAAATATAATCTCATTAGCGAGTAATTTTAGTCACATTAATCGCGCGATGCGATAGCCTTTTCATTCTTTTCTTTTTTTTTTCAGAAATCGTGACATATACCACACATGTTATGTTCTTAGTGGATTGTCGATTGCGCAAAACTCACCGGTAAAGACGATCATCGGACGAAAGCTCGTGAACAAGGTGGAGGTGATCCATCCCATCTACAACGTGGAATACTCCGTCGCGAAAAAGGCGCAGGAGTATTTCCCTACTCTACCAATACCCGCCGATTGATTCGTCTTAGCTATTCAAAATGTATTTAACCATGTTTGTATGTTTTTCCTAAAAAAGAGAGAAAAAGAGAAAATATTCCAAAGAAAACTGGAACCTATCTCAAACTGACCAATGATGCGCGTAGAGAGTTGTTTTTGTATACGAAAGTCCTTCAATTGTGATATATAAGAGAGCATGAAATGCCACGTTAAATAATCTTCGATGCACATTATTCGATATTGAAAATTAAAAGATCGCATTTTTCCTATCTTAATTTTATTTTGTGTTAATAAAGTTCACGGAGAAGATAATACAGAAATAACTTATTTATGTGCCCCATGTGAGACGTTGCACAACTGTTATCTGAAATTTCTTTTCTTCCGTCAATGATCGCGTAATTTCCGACATAAGCGTGCAAATAATGCAAACGGATCCCAGAGATAAAGATCTCTATTGCAACGTGTAATCTTACACATAGATATATGTACATATATGGGGATACGTAAATATAGAATATAATTCCATTGCTATATAATTCGATATCTACCATATCTACTCGAGGAAATGCTAAAGATGCAGAAAAATACAATTTTCTTACATTAATATAAAAATTTAACTTTTCAGTGTTTGATTCGGAACTCGCTCGACTGATTTTTCTCGATAATCAAATACCGTACATATTTTCGTCTTACACGTTAAGGGGATCCTAAAGCCGTCTCCTAATACCGACATTTTTACTAAACGCATATCTTTTTATTGGCTTTATAGATTTAAAAAAAATCCTTCGCTAAAGTTAAAGTATATGCGCTAATGCTTTCCATGACGGTCGATTTTATACCGAGAATGAAAATAATTTCAGACATGCAGACAATAAGACATCGACTTGTGACATTTGCTTCATATAAAAATTCCACAATTTTGTTGTTACAATATAAGACCGTTGTGGAAGGTGAATTACATCAAGAAATATCATACGGTTCTCAGAGTTTGGATTAGAACCGTAACAAAAAAGTTATGCGTGTACATCTATTATCGTGTAATGTAGGTATATAGGTACTATAACATTGTCTATCCTTGTCTATAAAAGGACAGATATAAACCGGTAACATATAAAACGATCGAAATTATCGACCATTTTAATTCCGTTTAGATGAGAGTGCTTTCCCGTCGGGAGTTCGACCTTTGGTTTAGGATCCCCTTAACATAACGCTGTTCACCACTCGACATTTCGCACGATTATAGGCGCGGCAAGATATCTCGCACTATCGAGGACATAGAGTAAGTGATGGAGAATGCAAAATCTATAATGATTTATGAAGGAAGTTTGTGATATTTCGATCTCTGCACCGTCCATTGCATCCCTTGCAGACTATTGTTGATTAACTTACGTTTATACGACACCACCCATATACCGTTGCACTTACAGGCTTGAACTCTTTTTTTTATGTTTGTCAATAAATTATAAAACAATACTATAACACAAAAGTTATGTCTTTTACGATTTATGAGCCTCGATTATTTCTTTTTTTGTATGCTCATAATTATAGTTTCGAATGTTTGCTCGAACGAAAAGCGAGATAAAGAATAACTTTTGTTCAAGATCGAGATATTAGTATAGATTAATATGAATGCGATTAATAATACGTACATATATGATAAATGCTTAAAAATTGCAGTCTTCCGTTAGTTTTTTGATATAACCAATTATTGCATGTAGTTATACGCATGGTTCGACGTAATTTCCTGGGAATAATCCAGTTATACCGTCCATCACCCCCTCCCACCATCCGTCATCGTTTTTCTTGAGCACGTAGATCACAGAACTCTCTTGAAAACTCAGCTCGTCCTCTTTATCCGCGTAATAATCATAAATAGCCACCACTGTAATTACAATTTTTATATTATTACTTATCGCGTTACTAATTGGATGTTTAACAATATGACAGAAAACTAATTCTACCTTTCTCGATATAATTCTTCGGCACCCATCCGGGCAGGTCTTCCTCGTCCGGCACGATCGGCATTATAGCACCAGATGGGGTCGGTCTGCCAAACTGCGGATGTTCCTCCTGCTCCGGTGGTGGCGGCGGCGGTAAGGGTGGACTATTCGCACCGCTACCACGGCTAATTTGATGCGATAATCTGTGCGGCAGGGTGTGATGTCCGGTGTATTCCGTCATATCGCCGCCTAGACCGACCAAAGGTGAAGGTGGAGCTACGATGTGTGACGAAAAATATCAATATGATATGAAGATATGCATGAACATTATACACCTCCATTATCGTTATTAATTATATCATTTGTCACTTACGAGGCATACTGTTATGCTGTTCCTGCACGTAGCCCGCGGTGACGCTGGGCGGTGCCGGTGGTGGCGTCTGCGGATGACTCTGCAGGGGATGCACCGTTCCCACTTGCGGCATAGTGTGTTGATTGATGGTATTGGCATGCGCATTATGATTGGAATTGTGGCTCGTGTGGGACGTGTTATGAGCATGCAATGGTAGAGTGCTATATCCCGGGCGATCTCGCCTGGGATGGCCAAGTGGATAGTTGGGCGCGTAATGGCTAGGAACTTGTGGTGGGGCTACCGCTGGCGGAGTCCTATATTCGCGCGAGCCTTTACTCAATGTTCCTATACACAGAGAACGTTGCGAATCATTATTCGCCGTATTAGCAAGATTTAATGCGAGACACATATAACATTAAACGTGACAAATAGATTGGTGTAACATTTAGAAGCTGAAAGAAAGAAAAAAGACACACATGCGGCCAAGAAGCAGTAAATACCTTTGCGTTAGCGAAATTTTTAATTTTTTATAACCGCAACTGAAAAAGTACACCTTTACATGTTTGTGTAGCACTTGTACAATTCTTAGCGCTTATAGAGGGTGTCCCAGAACGTTCCTGGGACACCCTATGCATACAGTATGTTTGGGCACAATTATGGATTGTCCGCGTAAACGATATACAAAGACAAGGAAATATCTTCCCGTTTGTAGCAACAACTACCAAACATTCTGTATGTATAATATATATTTACATGTAGAACTCTTACCAGTTCTCACTGTTTGAGGTGGCGTGGGTGGTTTGGTAGTAGGAGCAGGTCCTACCATAGCAGCGCCCAAGCCCGAGCCTGTAGAAGCAGCACCCAAGCTCTGAACGCTGCCTTGACTACCTCCTCTCTGCTTGCTTCGCGGCGTACCGCAGCTACGTACACCATGCCCAATTTCATCTAGGATCGTGTAATCAATGCTCTTCCTGACATACTTAATTGGTTTCTCCGGATTGGCGGGAGCGATGATTTTGTACTGGCGAGTCGTCATCTTGTTGGCCGTCAAGACCCCTATCTCCCTTCTGGCGACCTTCTCCTTGTGAATCATGACCGTCTGCGCGATATGGTTCATCTGACTCTCCATCTCGGCGAGCTGGGACGTCTGCAGGTCGAGCAGTTGAAGAAAGTTGTACGCCAGGGTATTTATTTGATATGCAACGCTGGCCAACGACTGCGTGGTATAATTCTTCGTCTCCTCCAGCGCGATCCTCTTGTTCTCAGCTTGGAAGTAGTTCGCCTCACAATACTCCGCCACCCTCTCGAGATTGGTGTGGCTGTCGGCCAGATTGTTCCTCCCCTCGGGAATCTCATGTCGCAGGAGTGCCGCCAATTCTGCCATGACTTCAGAATCACTGCCCACCCCTGACGACACGCAATAGGATCCTGATCCTTTTCACAGGCGGTAGAAAAGAGAAATAATACAGATATTACACGTGTGGGGAACTTCAACATGGATGAAAATCATGAAATTAGTTTCGCACAACGTGTTACAAAATAAAGTACAAATTGAATAAAGTAAAGGCAATCACGCGCAGGCAAAAGGTATATACTTATTGACGGTTTTATAGTTTCGAACAGTCATTCGCATCCTCACAAAGTTGGGTCATTAATCGGTTCTGACGCGAGTGCAAAGAGGAAGAGGTTAATTCCCGACAATGAAAATACTCATCACCTTCCTCGCGAAGCGAAGGGAGCGGTCGAGAGGGTCGAAAAATTAGATTATGACAGGGGCGCGGCGTCCGAAGGGAAATAGAAGACAAGATGGACAGACCGACACACATACACACACACGCGTACACACCAACACATCGCCTTAACGTTCCGCTCGCGCGATCGCGATCAACGCGACGGGGAAGGGTTTTGTTGCGTTTTGCGTGCAACAATGACCGGTCTAGAGATGAAAAAAACAAGGAGTAGAAAATCAACTAACGGTACTCATCCATTATTCGCAACTACCAGCTACTACCAGCCTCATTAATTCATAATTACCGAGCTCCCGAAATTCATGTAAAAAAAAAGCGTACGGAGGTATAAGATGGCCGCGACACGTGCGCGCGCGAGCGATATGCAGTCGAGGCCCCGAGGGTCGAGTCTCGAGTCGATTGTATCGTGATGCATGTGCACGTCGCGATACAATCGATACCGTCGGGTATATTCTTTTCTTCTTTTGCTTCTTTCTACAATACGAGTCGCAAAGTCGTGAGTCGCAAGAATTGACTAATCACAGTCGAATTTGAGGAGAATAATCGACTTTGATTGGTCAATTTTTGCGATTCACGACTTTACGACTCGCATTGTAGACCCAGCATAAGGCCCCGGACACACACTTTTTCGTAACAGTAACAGTAGGAATTTGACCAATCGCGTTGCTCGATTCGAAAACGTACGGCCGTACGTTCCCGAATCGAGTAACACGATTGGTCGAAATCCTACTGTTACTGTTACGAAAAAGTGTGTGTCCGGGCCCTAAGGCAGGGCACACACACTTTTCGTAGAACGTAACAGTAAGGTTTCGACCAATCGCGTTGCTCAATTCTTACTTCTAAGGTTACAGACGGCCGAATCGAGCAACGCGATTGGTCGAAACCTTACTGTTACGTTCTACGAAAAATGTGTGTGCCCTGCTTAAAGCGGGGAACACACACTTCTGCACAACGCAATGCGTCAGCATAAGAAAATTGATTGGTTTATTTCCTTATGCACATGTACATATGGACCAATCAATTTTCTTATACTTAAGGCCATCGTACACAAAATGCATATAGCTTAGCATAAGCGTAGCATAAGACCGCTAAACCAATGAGCATCCAGCATAAAGTCGCTATATTGATTTACATAAGATGCTCCGTGGTCCAGCGGTCTTATGCTATGCTTATGCAGCCTATGCACGTTTGTGTGCGATGGCCTTTACGCCGTATGCGTTGTGTAGAAGTGTGTGCTCCCCTTAATTTTGTTGGTAAACTGGATCTCGAACGAGGGTCGCAAGGATCGCGACTGGACGTATCGATCGCGGCGCTCGCGAGATATCGTGCGAATTACAAACGTAACACACCACTTATATCATAAATACATCATGATTTCGACCCAAAGTTCGGGTGCTGCGCGTTCCCGTGTACCTACCTATTTTACGGAAAATATGGATACTCCCTTGTTCCCGTGAGTGTCCCGATTCGCAGCTCGCGAGAATCGTATCCGCCCGCTTGTGTCCGACGTCCGCATTCGAGTGCGTCTCCAACTGCGTCGCGGTGCATCGACCGACCGACGGACGTTCGAGCCGGGCGCAGTGTCTTGGTAAGTACGGTTCTCCAGACAGCGAATACGAGGAGACGCACCTCGCGTCGAGTTCGTCGCGATTGTCGTGATTTCCCGGTTCGACGCGCGACAGATCGCTCTCGCGAAATCGACACCGAAATCCAACCGCCACGGGACTCAGGACGGTTTGCCCACGATTGTTCGCAGATCGACCAACTTCGCAACCGACGGTGGCTCGAGATTCTTCAGACTTGGTTGGCAGAATGTTCTCCAAACGGCCGAGACGGTTGATCTTTCTGAAAAGTAGCTCGCAAGGTGATCGTCGCTTAAATTACGTCTAAAAGGATCGACTCACGAGAGCGCGAGGACTTGTCGTTCGATCGGTCTCGATATCCGCAAGAATGGACGATCTGCTGAAGGAGTTGGAAGCCCTAAAAATTAGGAGCGATTTCTGCGAGGATAATTCCTCGTGGACACCATGCATAGACTTGATTCAGAGGAGTTTTGCGCCGCAGAAGACGGTCGGGGTGGAGCGTCCATGCGAGGAGAAGGATTTCAGAGAGTACAGATTCGTTGTGGAGAGAAACTTGCGTAACGTTAGGTCTATGCTGCAACATATTTCCAGCAGTTGCAGAGAGAAACGCTTGCAGCTGAACAATGCCACAGGGATGGTCAGAGCATTTGGCATGAACCTCTTGCTGCTCATTGGAGAACACAGCGAAAAGAACATTTGGAATACAGCCGAGTGTGTCTCTATTTCCAAAGAATTGCTTGCTGGTTTCTGTGATCTGTACACCTGTCAGAGCGTTTCCCAATTTTTGTCGGAGAATGAGAATTTGCGCGACTTGTTGTTAACGTTAAGACCTAAATTACTGAAAGACACCTGGAAAACTTATCCGTCAGCCGTAGCGTGTTACAGATGGATTTTGCACGAGGCAGAAGTAAGTCCAGTCCTTATTCGGATTCTTATCTTGTATATTATTTAATTACATATATACTTTTCTTCTCACACAGAAACCAATTTTGTTTAATTATATCGGAGATGTTTTGCCCACTGCACTAATTATTCTCGATGACTATTTCCCTGATAATGTAGTAATAGGCCTGGAATGTATTTACCAGATTATACAGCATTCTTACATGGTAACAAGAGTTTATTCTTACGCACACATATACTATATCTTAATATGTATATATTCACTCAACAAATATTTCAGAAAAAAGGGCTGATAGACTCTGGTTATGCTAAACTGATTTATCATGCTTTGGAACATTTAACCCACCAAAAGGAAGTGAGATACGTTATTCCTTTGTATTCCTGCATGGCAAGTCTTTTAGCTACTATGGAACATTGGGATAATACCATAAATCTATTTGAGGTAATCTATTGAGCCACTCACGAGATTAGAACTTACAATTCAATCTTAAATACTATCATAATTTTCACTTTTACAGTGGACAACACGTGATGAAGTTCTCTCTACCTTGATAGGGAACATGCAACTCGAACAGAACATTGAATTACGGCATGTATACATGTTGAGTTTACCTCAACTCATTACAAGTATAGGCTGTGCCAAATGGTGTGGAGCGCTCATTCGCATACTGGCCGAATACTGCGAACATCATACAGATTTAAGGACATTAAAGGCAACATTAGAGGTACAATCTTAAAATACGATCCTACGTCACAATATGAAGTAAATATAAAATAAAACGGATATTGATCTCAGTTTGCGTTTCTTTTTTACTTAGACCGCAAAGACGTTTCTCTTGATGTTCCGCCTGCGAGTGGCTGCACACTGTGCCCCCCTTTACACCGTATTCTTGAAGTTGCATTTTGATCTAACCGAGACACCAGTATTCGATCGAGCGATCATGCAGAATCTGGAGGATTGCATTTGCATGTTATACCAGTTATCGCCGAATGTAGGCTATACTGTAATTAATGACGATCGAATGCGTTCGGTACTCAACAGTAGCCTGCCGGTCGTATGCCAGGGCGGTGATATCAAGTATTTCGAATAATTTACGAGACGTGCGACAGTCGCATATTTGTATATACAATGTATTCTATGTAATTTGTGTGAAAATGCGCTCATAGAAATATATTCTCTGTGTAAACCTCTATAATGCAGAGATAAAAAGCGAAGCGCAATAGGTACTTATATATTTTATTTGTGATGTAAAGATATATCAATATACATTATTTGTAAAGTAAACGTTTTATTTGTTAGAATACATTTATTTTAATTATTAGCTCTTTGCGATATATATACATGATTACGAAAAAATCGAGCTCCTACGAGAGATCGCGCACACATGCAACTTCTTAATCGATTGTGACTAATAATGATTGTTGAGTAATCGTGTAATAGTTGAAGAATTGTCCGGATAATACTGCAATTTAACTTATGTAACTTGTAACTCAATATATAAATTTTGAATTGCATGTAATCGGATCGTCCAATTGCTTTTTACATTTTACTTTTTGTCTTTGGATCTCCAAAGCACAAGTTATTTCTTTCAAATTCGAAGAACTGTAAGTAAAGGTGTCGATATATTTATCAAGAAGTGAATGTTTGTTCCGCCAATGATAATCAACAAAAAGGTGCATATATTTAATCGACTACTAATTAGCAATAATTACATAGTTCTCACGACGTTTCGACCCAGGATTCGGGTCCTTCTCAAGTGATCTGATGATGAAAATGTACCATCGTCAAACGATTCTCAGTCAACAGTTCATGAGATTTTCACAAGAGTGGCAGAGAATGTTTTCCAATGGCACCGGTTCGTCTCATGCTCGCTGAGTTACATTATATCACAGAACAGCAAGCAAATTAATGTTAACGCTATGGACGACGGAAATGTTCGTTTCCTGGGTCGAAACGTCGTGAGAATTATGTAATTATTGCCAATTAGTAGTCGATTAAATATATGCACCTTTTTGTCGATAAATAGTTGTATGTGCCGTGGAAATCTCAGTTGGGATTGTTTGCTTACAGAGTTCGGTTGATAAAACAATTAATCTGAAAGTTACACATGAGAGTTAACTTTTAAAAACAAAACAAAGCGGATATCTCTTCTGTCTTTTTCTGTGAAAAATGTGATTTATTATTACTATGTAATAATTAGTTGGATCTATCTCTTTATGCTTATGTTCTGTAATCTTATCCTACACATAAATTTAGATTAGATCGGATCTGTTTTGCAAAAGCTATAGCATTTATCTTTTGACGTATATAATACTAGCTGGTTATCCGGGGTTTTGCCGGGCGTCTTTTTTTAAAAAGATTTTATTTGTGTTATTACATTTGTGTTCTAGCTAATCTTATCCACCAATATATGATTCATAAATACATATTTTCGGTAACTTTCCACATCACCTATGAGGTATAATACTATATATTATTGTATAAAGATTGTTTTTTATTTAGTAACGTTTATTTCCTGACGTCAATTATCAGTTAGATTTGCTCTTTTGCAATGTCTATTATCATCGCGTAAAAGAGTCACTGTGCGTCTCGCTTCGCGCGTACTTGGCGCGAGACACTACCGTGTCTCTTGATATCATGTTCTCATACTATGTGCATCTCTACCTATGTGAACCTGGCACCCGACTTTCGAAAAATTAATTTTTTTTACAGAAAACGTTAGCATTTTGTTTGTAGTTGTTTGTAGTGCCTTTCGTTTCGTTTGAAGTCGAACCGTTTAAAAATTATTTAATTACTTGTACTGACTATCACCAAATAGCAATAACACTTGAGAAATGCATTTTAAATTAGTACAAAGTATATCTGGCAGTTCATATCTCTGTTTTTCGCATGCTATCGCTGAGATGGCCTCAATCGTCTGTATGTTTAAAACACGAATAGATTTGTGAAGCTTTCATTTAATATCTACTGTTTGTTCCATCCAAATCATGTCGCCGCTCTTAGTCGTGATACTTGTGCTCCTCGTGACGTATAAACTATACAGATTTGCTTACAATAAACCGCCTAATACACCTCCAGGTAAGATAAATTAGATTTGTATAAATACTAAACTATTTTTTCTTTCAATTTTAATTTTTTTTGGTCCCAGACATGGAATATCGAATATCTTGTACTACTTTTATTATTAGTATTATTTATACTTATTATTACTATTAAATGTTTCCTGTCTAACTCAAATTATTAACAAAGGGCTCTTTTTTATTATATTTTAAATTATTCTTAACTGTTTAACAAATGTCTCTATTGTGTAAAAAGAATTCTGTCTAAGTTTTCAACGAATTTTAAATAATCGTTTTTATTTTTATGAAATTTTTGCGAGATAGGTATTATCAGAATTCCAATAGGAGGATCTTACTGGATGTTATTGTGGGGAAATTATAAATTTCCACACTTAACTATTGACTATTACGTGAAGAAACTGAAGTCAAAGGTTATCAGCTGCTACATGGGTGATTATTTTACAGTAATAGTTAACGATTACAACAGCATAAAAGAAGTACTCACAAGAGATGAATTTAGTGCGCGAATTACAAATGCGGAATTTATAATGGATCGAGCTTTCGGAAAGGAATTAGGTAATGAAAAATATAATTATTTTTTCACTTTTCGTTGTATATGCAAAATATTATACGTAACATAATTTTATATGATTATATGTTTTTTCGAGATTGGAGACATTTTACGCGATAACAATAATTAAAGTGTAAATAATGAACTTTTACAATGAAGTAATAAATATTGTCAAATACCACCGCAGGTATATTTTTCATCGACGGCGAAAAATGGCAGGAACAAAGAAGATTCGCTCTTCGCCACATGCGCGATTTTGGATTCGGTCGACGCCAGGAGAAGCTCGAGAGCGAGATTATGGACGAGATGTCCCTATTCCTCGAAATACTCAAGAGCGGACCCGCTTACGATGGAGAGAAGGTGCGGTCGCGACGAATCGAAGCTGTCTCGATCATAGACGTCCACCGATATACGTCTGTATATTCCCGTCGTGAAACGCCGCGTTTACCCGATACGCCAGTCTTCTTTTGTCCTGTGGCCGTTGCAGATTTCGTTAAGACCATGGACATTTACCCTAACGGGTTATTCGTGCCCTCGTCCACCAGTTTCAGCACCTGATAGAAGATCTAAATCTGGATCTATTATTTTTGTGTCTACACTTCTTCTTGGTAAACAATGGATCCGATCAATAACTGGGTTCGAAACTACCGGGCGTCTACACACGCTTCTGTTTCTCTACCGGTGTCTGACCATCTCATCGTCCTATACCGCTGTATGGATTGCACAACGCAAGTGAAAGAAACACAGCAGGTGTTCACGGCCAATATCCGTCTTTTTCTAGTCAAGTCCGTAACATCTTTTCGCAAAGCGTAGGTCCTGTACAAAGCATGTTTTTTTCAGTGAAAATTACATAATAAGTAATAGTGATACGTTTATTTAATGCACAATTTATATTTTTATTGATTTTGGAACAAAACAGATTTTCTTCTCTCAAGTTCTTCGTCGCGGTTCACCACATGGCAAAGAAAACGAAGTACATACCTACCACACTTTGACAGTTACGTTCTTGAACGATCGAGTATTGATTAATCAGATCTCCAGAAATCTCCTCAGAGCATAGATAGAGACAGAGATAATTCGCGCATTTGCTATCTCATTTATCTTTTGAGGACTCTGTTTGATATACGAGCAAAACAAGGATGCAAACCATTATCTCTGTAGATCGATGAACCCTCTTTCGTCCCCGCGAGTTTGACGTTTCCACGCGCTGACTGGTGATCCGTCGTCGATGTTCGTGCACGTGTCGCCCTTTTGACCCGCCGCGCGCGTTTTGCTTTGTTGTAAAATATATAAAAATATTTTAGCGAAGAAAAATAGAGAAAAAGTGATTTCATTATTCGTAGGAAATTCTAAAGGATAACTTGGCGCTCTTCCCGGACATTCTGTACGCACCGGCGGGTAACAACATATGGAATATTATGTTTGGTCACAGATTTAACAGAAGCGAGCACGATGTCCCGCGACGTCTCTGTCGTGCGGCTGTAATGCTGCAAAGAGCAAACGACACGACCGGCGGGGCGATTTTTCAGCGACCATTCTTGAAACACTTTGGTAATATGTTTGGCTACAAAAACCACATGAAGGCAAGCAACATATTGACAGACATTATCAGGGTAAGTGGTTTGACAAACAGTTACAATCGAAATTCACACGCATCGAATTTCGATTGCCAAGGGTGCATTTAAATCACTATGTTTACGTCGTATGTTTTCAAAATTTTAAATCGCGTAGCGCTTTATCGGTTTACTTAGAAATTATACTTAATTTTTATATCAAACCGAGAAGAATTTGCAGTATAAACAAGCCTTTTTTAAAATAAATTTTAGATAAATCTAAAATTTTTGTATCAATATCGAGTTTTATACTTAGCAGGTTTTAATTTAACAATTTTCAGTTTTGATGGAATGAATAAACATGGAACATGAATATTAAATAAAGAAACACCTCAGTTAAAAAATATGATTGTATTTTATTCCGTAGAAATATATAGAGTACCAAAAACCTACGCTCACCGAGACTGACGACCGGGGATTTGTCGATAGATATCTAAAGAAATTGAAGGAGGAGAATAAGTTAGATAGTTTCACGGAGGAACAATTAATCATTTTGTTAATTGATATGATGTTTCCCGCTTTCTCTGCGGTACCAAGCACTATTACACATGTTATCAAGTACTTGATGCACCATCCCAGAGTTATGGACAAATTACAAAATGAGATAGATAATGTTGTCGGGACTGGACGACTGGTCACGTGGGAAGATAGAAAACAGTGAGTTATTATTGTACACTCGAGGAGACAGAATAATAAAAAAGAATTTTATTTCGGTTCCTAAGAAAACATGTTTGTCAATAATTTAATTTAATTATCTTGTTGATTACATTATCCTATTGATATTATATTGTTTTACATTTCACTAAAAAAAGGAAAGGTTGCAAGAAACCCAATTTATCGCAATACGCATATTTTCTTATCAAAATTAAAAAACGTGAGCTGTTTTATGACATTTAAAAAATGCATAGGCATAGAAGAAAGCAAGAAATATTACAATACGCATGATAATAAACTGGAAAACAGTTTACTTTTTTTATATATAAAACAATTCAGATTAGTTCAGATTTTTTTATATAAAAAGTATTACTATCACTTTCAAAAGTTAACATAGGTTCAATTTCAATTATACCATGTTCAACAATACAGATCCATTCTCATTTTGTTTTAGTTTGCCCTATGTGGAGGCGACAATACGAGAAACAATGAGACTTGAAACAGCCACACCTCTTAGCGTAATTCACAGGTGTAAGCAAAAAACCACATTAGGAGGCTACGAGATACCGGCGAACACACCAGTTTACACTAACTTGGCGGCGATGCATCATGATCCCGACTTATGGGACGAACCTGAAATTTTCAGACCGGAAAGATTTCTGAAGGTCGACGGTCAATTAGGCAAAGATATTTCACTCCCCTTCGGTGCCGGTAAGTCGATATACATATACGTGATCTAGTGAAATCTAGCAAATTCTGCTGAATTTTTTCATCTATCAGATTAAATTTAATGATAATAATAACAATAATGAATTTATTTCTATACTTTTGTGTAGGTCATCGGCTGTGCGCAGGAGAAACTTTTGCCAGATTCACCTTGTTCGGGACATTGGCTCTTCTGTTACAGAATTTTAACTTCTTCTTCGTTGAGGGTGAGCCGTCAAGCCTTCAAGATAAGCTGCCGGGCTTGATCGTCACTCCCAAAGAGCTGTGGATACGCTTAGAATTGCGTTAATATTCGTTATTTTCTCGATAATAAGCAATCTCAAATAAGTATAAGTATAATAGGCACATCACGTCCTGTCCTTTTGTGTCAATTAGTGCGCAAATTAGAAGTTATTACATAACACCAATATGGAAAACATGTATATCATGCATTTGATAACAGACAAAATTTCTTTGATAAAAATATAATAACATGTTTGTTGGTAAACTTTCGCGTACGATTAATTTAGTTTAACCTTATCATGTATTTTTTAGCTGTCGACAGAGTTGCGAAATTAACTTAATTAAGATAATTGAAATGCGCAGTTTAAATGCGCTTATCGTTAGGTCAATTGGAAAAGAGAAAACTACGTATTTCTAGTAATTACAACGTGCCACACGAAGAATTACAACAAAATTGATCTTTTCGTGTTTTATAATATAATATATGCTGCCGCGTTTACTGAGTAGAAGCGGAGAAAAATTGACGATGATTTAACACATGCTACATAAAGATAGCGGGTCACAAATAGTGACTTTAAGTAAACAGCATCACTTTAATACATGTGTAATTACCTGAGAAAGAAAAATAAGAATATTCTTAAAAAAACGCCGTTTTTTTTCAACAGTACGATATCTTTTAAAAATTTGAGATTCACAGCTACAAATAATTCCTCCTATAATTGCCGTTGTAATCAAGCGATTACTGTGTTTCAAACCCTTGAGAACAGAGAATGTTATGTCGCTTATACTTTTATTCTCGATGGGCCAGTATTATATACATTATTCACCTTCAATATCGTATCTTGACATGAAAATCGAGACAAAATATTCCATATAAAATTTCATAAAAATTCTAATAACATTTTTAATTCAATTTTTAAACTATCGATTCGAATTTTTATGTACAGAGAAATGCACTTTGGCCCAATAGAATACTTCCTATCAAGTAGAAATTCAGCGACCTATGCGTGAATATATCCGTTGTACATAGCTTTTGTATGTGTCTGCTTTTATCTAAATGATTAGTGAACTATGCATTCCACTAGAAAAGTCCTGATTCGCAGCTCGCGACGATCGCAACCGCCCGCTCGTGTCCGACGTCCGCGTCCGAGTGCGTCTTCAACTGCGTCGCGGTGCATCGACCGACCGACGGACGTCCGAGCCAGTGCAGTCTTGGTAAGTACGGTTCTTCAGACAGCGAATACGCGGAGACGCATCTCGCGTCGAGTTCGTCATCGCGATCGTCGTGATACTCGTGATTTCTTGGTCCGACGCGCGACGGATCGCTCTCGCGAAATCGAAACCGAAATCCGACCGCCACGGGACTCAGGACGGTCCGCCTACGATTGTTCGCAGATCGGCCAACTTGGCAACCGACGGCGGCTCGAGATTCTTGAGACTTGCCCGGCAGAATGTTCTCCAAACGACCGAGACGGTTGATCGTTCTGAAAAGTAGCTCGCAAGGTGATCGTCGCCTAAATTACGTCTAAAAGGATTGACTCAGGAGAGCGCGAGGACTTGTCGTTCGATCGGTCTCCGATATCCGCAAAAATGGACGATTTGCTGAAGGAGTTGGAAACCCTAAAAATTAGAATCGATTTCTGCGAGGATAATTCCTCGTGGAGTTTTGCGCCGCAGAAGATGGTCGGGGTGGAGCGTCCATGCGAGGAGGAGGATTTCAGGGAGTACAGATTCGTTGTGGAGAGAAACTTGCGTAACGTTAGGTCTATGCTGCATATTTCCAATAGTTGCAGAGAGAAACGCTTGCAGCTGAACAATGCCACGGGGATGGTTAGAGAATTTAGCATGAACCTCTTGCTGCTCATTGGAGAACACAGCGAAAAGAACATTTGGAATACAGCCGAGTATGTCTCTATTTCCAAAGAATTGCTTGCTAGTTTTTGTGATCTGTACTCTGTCAGAGCGTTTCCCAATTTTTGTCGGAGAATGAGAATTTGCGCGATTTGTTGTTAACGTTAAGACCTAAAAGTTACTAAAAGACACCTGGAAAACTTATCCGTCAGCCGTAGCGTGTTACAAATGGATTTTGCACGAGAGAACATGGAACTCGAACAAAAAATTGAATTACGGCATGTATATACATGTTGAGTTCACCTCAACTCATTATAATAAGTATAAGCTGTGCCAAATGGTGTGGAGCGCTCATTCGCATACTGGCCGAATACTGCGAACATCATACAGATTTAAGGACATTAAAGGCAACATTAGAGGTACAATCTTAAAATACGATCCTACGCCACAATATGAAGTAAACCCCACGTCACATACAATATAAAGTAAATATGAAGTAAAACAGATATTGATCTCAGTTTGCGTTTCCCTTTTACTTAGACCGCAAAGATGTTTCTCTTGATGTTCCGCCTGCGAGTGGCTGCACACTGTGCCCCGCTTTACACGGTATTCTTGAAGTTGCATTTCGATCTGACAGAGACATCAGTATTCCGACAGTCGCATATTTGTATATACAATGTATTCTATATAATTTGTGTGAAAATGCGCTGATAGAAATATTATATTCTCGTGTAAACCTCTGTAGTGCAGAGATAAAAGCAAAGCGCAATAGGTACTTATATATTTTATTTGTGATGTAAAGATATATCAATATACATTATTTGTAAAGTAAACGTTTTATTTGTTAGAACACATTTATTTTAATTATTAGCTCTTTGCGATGATTGCGAAAAAATCGAGCTCCTACGAGAGATCGCGCACACATGCAACTTCTTAATTAATCGATTGTGACTAATAATGATTGTTGAGTAATCGTGTAATAGTTGAAGAATTGTCCGGATAATACTGCAATTTAACTTATGTAACTTGTAAAACTCAATATATAAATGTTGAATTGTATGTAATCAGATATCGTCCAATTGCTTTTTACATTATACTTTTTTGTCTTTAGATCTCCAAAGCACAAGTTATTTCTTTCAAATTATTATAATATTTAGTTATATGTGCCGTGGAAATCTCAGTTGGGATTGTTTGCTTACAGAGTTCGGTTGATAAAACAATTAATCTGAAAGTTACACATGAGAGTTAACTTAAAAAAACAAAAGAAAGCGGATATCTCTTCTGTCTTTTTCTGTGAAAAATGTGATTTATTATTACTATGTAATAATTAGTTGGATCTATCTCTTTATGCTTATGTTCTGTAATCTTATCCTACATATATATTTAGATTAGATCGGATCTGTTTTGCAAAAGCTATATAGCATTTATCTTCTGACATATATATAATGCTAGCTGGTTATCCGGGGTTTTGCCCGGGCGTCTTTTTTTTAAAAGACTTTATTTGTGTTATTACATTTGTGTTCTAGCTAATCTTATCCACCAATATATGATTCATAAATATATATTTTCGGTAACTTTCCACATCATTTATGAGGTACTATATATTATTAATGCGTTTTTTAGTGATATCCCCAGTATTTTAAATTCTTTAAAAGAATCGTACTTGGTGACTTTTCCTGTTCAGATTTTCCTGATCAATCAAATCGTAAAGAATTATATATGAAATAGAGGTAGAAAAGGCTGAATAATAAAATCGAATTATAAATATCCCGATATCTCGAAATTGGCGGAAGTTAAAACAACCACGGACATTTATCAAAAAATTCAAAAATTTATAAAGAAAGAACTCTTTTACTGATCCTCCATTTATTTGAAAAATTATTAAGTTACATATGCATTTTTATATTTTTCTTTCCTTATCATTCGCATTTTTTCTTGCATTATTTCATTCTGAAGGTGAGCAATATGTCATTTCCCATAAGAACTTATGCTAAAAAGTCCAACTTTTGGAGTCAACGTCACCATGAAAAATTCCCCAAAAATTCACATAATTCTATTTAAAATTTTATAAAGCTGGCTGCACATTTTTTTGTAGCACCTGAACCTCCTTAAGATTTGGTTGATTAGTTTTTAAGTTAATAATGTGTTTAAACATACACCACCCGTAAGAATTTTATATATTAGTATAGATATTGGATTGTTTTTTTATATGTATCTTCTATGTTATATTAATAGGTTGGCCAATAAGTCAGTGCGGTTTTTTTACTTATAAATTTATAAGTAAAAAACCGCACGGACTTATTGGCCAACCTAATTTATACTTTTAGATTAATCACTTGTTTTTCAGAAAAGATTGTTTTTTATTTAGTAACGTTTATTTAGTAACGTTCATCTCTACCTATGTGAACCTGGTATCCGACTTTCGAAAAATTAATTTTTTTTACAGAAAACGTTAGCATTTTTGTAGTTATTTGTAGTAACAAAAATTTCGTTTGTAGTTAAATACATTAAAAATTATAAAAATAACTCGTACCCGACTTTGAGATATCTCAAATCCACTTGCGCAGTCTACTTCAGAATCGTTTGTAGTTTGTAGTGCCTTTCGTTTCGTTTGAAATCGAACCGTTCAAAAATAACAACAATTTAAAAAAATTGTTAAGACCTAACTTTGCCGCTTGCGCAGTCTTTTTTATAATTGTTTGTAGTTGATTGTAGTGATTTTCCTTTCGTTTGCAGTTGAACCGTTAAAAAATTATGATATTTTTGCAATAAACAAAAAGTGTAACTTTGCCAATTTTGGAATTTCTTTGGTTTTAATTGCGAACATCTGCACCTTTGTTATTCTTATTTTGCAGTACCCAGAAAATTATCTTGGCATTATCTTATTTCATTTGATGAAAGACCATTATCTAATTACTTGTACTGACTATCACCAAATAGCAATAACACTTGAAAAAGGAATTTTACAAGAGGACAAAGTATATCTGGCAGTTTATATCTTGTTTTCCGCCTGCTACTGCTGCGTAGTTCGTCTGCGATTAAGAGACGAATAGATTTGTGAACCTTTCATTTAGTATCTACTGTTCGTTCCATCCAAATCATGTCGCCGCTCTTAGTCGTGATACTTGTGCTCCTCGTGACATATAAACTATACAGATTTGCTTACGATAAACCGCCTAATACACCTCCAGGTAAGATAAATTAGATTTGTATAAATACTAAATTATTTTTTTTTCAATTTCAATTTTTTTCAGTCTCAGACATGGAATATCGAATATCTTGTACTGCTTTTATTGTTATTATTATTACTTATTACTATTATTATTTATTATTACTATTAAATGTTCTCTTTCTAACTCAAATTATTAAAAAAGGCTTTTTTTTTATTATATTTTAAATTATTCTTAACTGTTTAACAAATGTCTCTATTGTGTAAAAAGATTTCTGTCTAAGTTTTCAACGAATTTTGAATAATCGTTTTTATTTTTATGGAACTTTTGCGAGATAGGTATTATCAGAATTCCAATAGGAGGATCTTACTGGATGTTATTGTGGGGGAATTATAAATTTCCACACTTAACTGTTGACTATTACGTGAAGAAACTAAAGTCGAAGATTATCAGCTGCTACATGGGTGATTTCTTTGCAGTAATAGTTAACGATTATGACAGCATAAAAGAAGTTCTCACAAGAGATGAATTTAGTGCGCGAATTACAAATGCGGAATTTATAATGGATCGAGCTTTCGGAAAGGAATTAGGTAATGAAATATATAATGATTTGTTCACTTTTCGTTGTATATGCAATATATTATACGCAATATAATTCTATATGATTATATGTTTCTTCGAGATTGGAGACATTTTACGCGATAACAATAATTAAAGTGTAAATAATGAACTTTTACAATGAGATAATAAATACAGTCAAATTACACGCAGGTATATTTTTCATCGATGGCGAAAAATGGCAGGAACAAAGGAGATTCGCTCTTCGCCACATGCGTGATTTTGGATTCGGTCGACGCCAGGAGAAGCTCGAGAGCGAGATTATGGACGAGATGTCCCTATTCCTCGAAATACTCAAGAGCGGACCCGCTTACGATGGAGAGAAGGTGCGGTCGCGACAAATCGAAGCTGTCTCGATCATATAGACGACCACCGACGTCTGTATATTCCCGTCGTGAAACGCCGCGTTTACCCGATATGCCAGTCTTCTTTTGTCCTGTGGCCGTTACTATAGATTCCGTACAGTTAAGACCATGGACATTTTCGCCAACGAGTTCGTGCCCTCGTCCACCAGCTTCAGCATCTGGTAGAAGACGTTTCACCCTCGCGCTTACTCGTACAGCGCGATCTTTTCCAGAATACGGTCCCGCGCACGCACCTCCTCCTCGGTGTAAGGCCTTACGGCCGGCGTCATGTCGTTCAAGTCTTCCTCAGCCGATCTTAACAAACGCTCGTCGCGTACGTCCATCTGCAGCAGGTGCTGTCTATACGCCCGGATCTTGTCGAGCGCTATTTCCTCTCTTCTTTTTATTTCCTGCGATAGCTGTATATAGCGGATCTAGATCTGGATCCATTATTTCGGTGTCTACACACTTCTTGGTAAACAATGAATCCGATCAATAACTGGGTTCGAAATTCGAAACGGCCGGGTTATACACGCGCTTCTGTGCCTCTACCAGTCGGGGTCTGACCATCTTATCGTCCTATACCGCTGTATGGACTGCACAACGCAAGTGAAAGAAGCACAGCAGGTGTTCACGGCCGATATCCGTCTTTTTCTAGTCAAATCCGTAACATCTTTTCGCAAACCGTAGGTCCTGTGCAAAGCATGTTTTTTTTCAGTGAAAATTACATAAGTAATAGTTTATTTAATGCACAATTTATATTTTTATTGATTTTGGAGAACAAAACAGATTTTCTTCTCTCAGATTCTTCGTCGCGGTTCACCACATGGCAAAGAAAACAAAGTACATACCACACTTTGACAGTTACGTTCTTGAACGACCGAATATTGATTAATCAGATCTCCTCTAGAAATCTCCTCAGATCATAGAGACAGTTCGCGCATTTGCTATCTCATTTATCTTTTGAGGACTCTGTTTGGTATACGAGCAAAACAAGGACGATGCAATCCATTACCCCTGTAGGTCGCTGAACCATCCCTCGTCGCCGCGAGTTTGACGTTTTCACGCGCTGACTGGTGACCCGTCGTCGATGTTCGTGCACGTGTCGCCCTTTTCACCCGCCGCGCGCGTTTTGCTTTGTTGTAAAATATATAAAAATCTTTTAGCGGAGAAAAATGAAGAAAAAGGGATTTCATTATTCGTAGGAAATTCTAAAGGGCAACTTGGCGCTCTTTCCGGACATTCTGTACGCACCGGCGGGTAACAACATATGGAATATTGTGTTCGGTCACAGATTTAACAGAAACGAGCACGATGTCCCGCGACGTCTCTGTCGTGCGGCTGTAATGCTGCTAAGAGCGAACGACCCGACCGGAGGGGCGATTTTTCAGCGACCATTCTTGAAACATTTTGGTAATATGTTTGGCTACAAAAACCACATAAAGGCAAACAACATAATGAAAGATATTATCAGGGTAAGTGGTTTGGCAAATAGTTATAATCGAAATTCACACGCATCGAATTTCGATTGCCAAGAGTGCGTTTAAATCACTATGTTTAAATCGTATGTTTTCAAAATTTTAAATCGCGTAGCGCTTTATCGGCTAGAATTTATATTCAATTTTTATATCAAACCGAGAAGAATTTGCAGTATAAGCAAGCCTTTTTTAAAATAAATTTTAGATAAATCTAAAATTTTTGTATCAATATTTAACAATTTTCAGTTTTGATGGAATTAATAAACATGGAACATGAATGTTAAATAAACACCTCAGTTAAAAAATATGATTGTATTTTATTCCGTAGAAATATATAGAGTACCATAAACCTATTCTCACCGAGAATGATGACCGAGGATTTGTCGATAGATATCTAAAGAAATTGAAGGAGGAGAATAAATTAGATAGTTTCACGGAAGAACAATTAATCATTTTGTTAATTGATATGATGGCTCCCGCTTCCTCTGCGGTACCAACCACTATTACACATGTTATCAAGTACGTGATGCACCATCCCAGAGTTATGAAAAAAATACAAAATGAGATAGATAATGTTGTCGGGACTGGACGACTGGTCACGTGGGAAGATAGAAAACAGTGAGTTATTATTGTACACTCGAGGGAGACAGAGTAATTCCTCTTTAATTATATTACCGATAAATAACTAAAACAAGAATGTTAATATATATATAAAATATCTTATCAATGGATATACAAAACTGCAAATTAA